AAAAAAAAAAAAAAAAAAAAAAAAAAAAAAAAAAAAAAAAAAAGAAATAGCTAACTACCCATGTCTTTAATCTCTCCTTAGATCATTTTGTCAGCTATTCTGGAAGAGTCCTTCCCAGAATTTTTCTTGGCTTTTTCTGTCCTTGAGCACACAAGCAGACATTTCATTTTCTTTCCTTCCTCTCTACCCTTTTATTCCTCCTGCAAGGTCTTCAGTCCCTTCAGTTTCCCTTTTTCCCTGCTTCCTCTTCCTTCTGTCTTGTTGACTTTTCTTGACCTTTAAGTTCCTCACAGCAGTAGGAGAAAGTGGTAGCTTAAGCTAGAGAAGCCACCTCCTCTCTGGAGTCCCTCACCATGGTGAGTCCCATACACCTTGTAAATACCTGGTCACAGTCAATTGCAATACATGAAAGGACCCGATGCCTGGTGTGTAGTAAGAAACTAGTGCTCTTCAGTGTCATCTTTCTTCTTTGGGATGGGGCTGGAGAGGGTCAGTCTGCCTCTTCACCCAGTGTGACTCCTTGCAGGGCGTGTGTGAGGAGATGACCTATGCAGAGATTGAGAAGCAGTACCCAGAAGAGTTTGCACTTCGAGATCAAGAGAAGTATCTCTATCGATATCCTGGTGGGGAGGTGAGACTCCCCTCATGTGGAATGACTGCCTAGCCCTTTGATGGGGGGTTGGCCTTAATTTGAGGAAGGCTCGAATGTGATTTGGGGGTCTAGAAAGGGTGGTCTAGGCATTATTTATCTTCTTATCCTTGGGTCATACTGTGTTTAATTCAGATTAGGCAGTCAAAGATCTCCAGGGATGAGGGTGACAAGATAAACTCTGTTGAATATGTTGTAGAATCAACACGATCTTTTTTACTTCTTTTTTTCATTCTATTACCCCAATCCCCACCCCTATTCAAGCTGGTAGAGTCACCAAGCAAATATATGGGACATGCATTATTTCCCTATCATCTACGGTGTTTTAGGCTATTTTCTAGTCTAAGTGGTTTCATACTCTAGTGATGTGCAAGGCAAAATGAAATAAAACAGAATGGCTGAGGTCCAGGAAACTCCTGGGAGTCTCTTGTCACCTTACACACTGCCGGTTAATCTCTGGGAATTGAAACAACAACGGAAGTTAAATTCAGCTTCCACTTCTTGACCTATAGTTTTCTTGACTGAATATTGCTCTTGAAAGATCTGATTATTCTCAGGAGATACCAGTCTAGGGGCAGTTACTAGGTGACATAAAGTTGCTGAGCCTGCAGGAGGAAAGCCAGTGGGGGGAGAAGAAGTGGCTTCTTGACTCTGGGACCCAGCCCCTGACTTGGCTGCCAGCTTGCCCCACTTCCCCCACAGTCATACCAGGACCTGGTGCAACGGCTGGAGCCTGTCATCATGGAGCTGGAACGTCAGGGCAACGTCCTCGTCATCTCCCACCAGGCTGTCATGCGCTGCCTCCTGGCCTACTTCTTGGATAAGGGCGCAGGTGCCATTTGAAGGAAGGGCTAGGGGACACATCTGTGGGAGGAGGGCTGGACTTACAGTGGCACCAGGATCCCTGGGAACCAGACTTGCCCCTCTTCCACTCACATTAGAGTACATTCTTCAGGCAACAGTGTGGGGCTCCCAGCAACCACTGGGACAACTACTTGCTAGATTATCTCTGCTGCTACAACAGCCTCAGTACAGGTGGCTACTGCTGGTGCTCTTCAGTCCTGCTTTGATAGAGGGCCAGCATCGAGCTGGCACTTGTGGCAACAGCAGGAAAGTGGTTACTATTCCTAGCTTGTCATTCTGGCTAGTAGGAGGATGGTATCTTAGAAGCATCTTCAACCTTTGGATTTGGGGCAGGTCAGTTGTTTCTGGGTAAGAGCAGTAAGGAAGTGCTGCTGCCTACACTGACACTTCCCTTCCCTTCGAGATCTACCTGAGCTGCTGGGAAGCCTGCAGATTGGCCTTTGATGTAACCAGGTGGGCTGCAATCTTCCCTCCCATGGGACCTTGGCTACAGCACTTACCTCCTGTTTTGCCTGCATGGAAGGATCTAAAATGGCCTTATTTCCTTCCTTAGGCACTCAGTACCTTGGGTGACTGCTTTAGTCATGATATGATAATTGTCTGGGGTTTAGGGGAGGGTTTAGGAGCTTTGGTGGTCAGGGTATAAAGAAAACTCATTATGACTGCCTTAGATTCTCTCTTCCACTAATTTGACCTTACTCCATAACTCTAAGAAACTTCCTTCACCTGGTCTTTCTGCTTTCAGATGAGCTGCCGTACTTGAAGTGCCCTCTCCATACCATCTTTAAACTTACTCCTGTGGCCTATGGTAACTATGAGCTTAGGGGCTGGCACGAGGTGGGAACTGAGGAAGGTCAGGATATTTGCATTTTCTCTGAAGTTTGTCTGGAAGTTGAACTTCATCACTCTGTATATCAGGGAAGTTCCATCGGTGCCTTCCAGTTTTAAAGGGATGTATGTATGGATGGATGCATTTGGGAATACATATATACCTTTGTGGTATGCTTTCCCATAATGAAACTAAGGAATTTTCTTTTGAGCTTTTTTCCTCAAGGCTTCTTCTCTCTCTGTTTTCTCAGGGTGCAAAGTGGAAACAATTAAACTGAATGTGGAGGCTGTGAACACTCACCGTGACAAGCCAACCGTAAGTACTTTCCCATGGATGAACATGCAGTTTCCCTGCCACCTTGAGTCTTTGAACCTTTGGCATCAAGAGACGGGGGTTTCTTTTATGTACAAAAGGAAAACTGATTTAGAACTCATGTCCTATGTAGTCTGCTTACTTCCAAAAGGAAGAGATGTTGGGATTATTATTTCTTTTAAAAATTAGTACCTCTTTCATGAGTCTTAACCTTGAAAGTTGGCTCTTGGAAATTCAGTTGAGTATGGAAAGTGTTTGGCTGGAGTGAAAATGCAAATTTTTCCCTGAGGAAGGTCTCCCTTTAGAAAGCAAAGTCCAGAGGAGAGTATAAGGTGGGGTCAGGAAGTTTAGGTTCATTCCTGGGTCTGTCCCTGGTAATCTGTGGATCTTAAATAAGCCCCTCCTTTCATTGGGCCTTTTTCCTGCTTCGGATTATGATATTCAAAGAGCTTCTCCCTCTACAACCCTTTTAGCTCCCTGGGGCTAAGAGGCCAGGCCTTGTCCCATGTCCCATGTGCAGAGACCCTGTGTGCAGAGGAACAGGAGTGAAGAAAGCTGTTGTGGTTAAAAGCATTATTTAACCTTATGAGTGAGCTTTGGGCTTGGCTTTCATTTGTGTGGTGTCCCTCCATTTCCAATCAGAACAACTACCCCAAGATCCAAACCCCTGTAAGGATGAGAAGGAACAGCTTTACGCCTCTGTCCAGTTCGAATACAATAAGGCGTCCGAGAAATTACAGTGTTGGGAGCCGGCCCCTCAAGCCCCTCAGCCCTCTTCGTGCCCTGGACATGCAAGAAGGGGCCGACTAGCCGAAGACCCAAGTCAGCATTCCGGTGGTGTAACCGTGTGTTTCCCTCCTGCCCTTGCCACTACTCACCGAGGAGTCATTTAACTTCCACCTGCCTTCCCACTCCTGACACCTCACCATCAATCTTAACACAAACACGAGGTCATGTGTTTGCAGACCAACTGTAGCTCTTTTCCAGTTTGAAACATCTCTCCACCCAGGGTCAAGTTGGCAAGGTGGGACTTTTAGGACAGGCCCTCAGATGGGGTGGCCTGGAGGAGGAGGAAGAGGATACATTCCCCTGGGACTAAGCATGCTCCATGCACTTGGTTCTTCCCTCTGTTCCCTGGTGTCTAAACTCCTCGTGTTGGTGAAGTGGAGGTGGGGTGGGAGGTGTCAGTGGAAGGGGACCCAAAAGCCCATTTTTGCCTTTACCTTGGTTTGTAATGTGTGTTTTACTCACAATCCTTACTTGACTGCTTTCTTCTCCCTCTTTCATCTCCCCTTCGGATTGCCCAGTGTAATGTGTGACATTGTGGTGTCTGTCTAGGAAGGAAGGGGCGGTTGGTGAGAGAGAAGTCCAGGCTCTGCTGATTCTTTCTGCAGTGGACCTGAATGGATCTGGACTGGGGGAGTCTTTCCTTCCCTTCTCCCTTCCTCTCCAGCCAGGTCCTGAGGGTCATCCTAGGCTACAGAACATCCACAAAATGCTCTGGAGCTTGCAAGTGGACTTAGGGTGAGAGTTCTTGCCTCCTTTCATGAGAAACAATTCTAAGTCTTGGATGCCCTGGGGGACACCATCTCTGAGGATGTGGGAAATAGATTGGTTTGTATTTTTAACTTGAAGAGCCAGGCATAGGTCTTTTGGTGGCAGTGGAGTGGGGTTGAGGACAATAGGGTGGTCTCTAGCTCTTGCAGGGCTCTCACAGCACAGGCAGATCTTTTCTTCAGTGGCTTCCAGGTTCTTTGCCGATGACAGCAACTTCCCTGCCAAAGCCAGTGACCTGTGGGGCTGTTTAGAAGGACAGAGTTAGATTCATGGAGTCACCAATTATGTTTGAATTGCTCAGAGCAAAAGGCAGAGAAGAGTTCACTAAAGCTGCTTATTATTTTCCAGTAATTTTCAGTACACTCTCCTTCTTAAGATAAAAAATTAAAAATCTTTTACATGAACAATTTTTTCCCCCAAGTGTGGAAAAGCTTGATGATGAGTTTAATCTCTCTCATTGGGGTATTCTTTTGTTCCTAAGGATGAACTATCTCATTTCGATGTCCAGAGGAGTCTTTGAGACCCTGTGGGTCTAGCTCTTGATGGCTTGTATTTATTCACTTCTATCATTTTGTTGTTTTTTAAACAGGGCATGTTTAGAGAAAGGATTCTTAGCTCCTTTGGTCACACGTGATGGATTACCGTCTCAATTTTTTATGCAAAATATATGAATATATGTATATTTTTCTGAGAGGCAAGTTTAGAGTTCTCATGAGATTTTAAAAAGAGATAAGTGCCTCTCCACCTTGAGGTTATCAATCTGTCTTTTGGAGGTAACCCGTGGGAACAAGTTACTTTCCAAGGGAGTTTTTATTTTGTTTTGATTTTGTTGGTAATAGAAGGCCATTTGTCATTGTTCTCATTCACATGTTTTCCTTAGAAACCCTTCAGAACTTCTGAAACTCACACATGCCCATGTTCACTTTAGGCTTAATACCAACTCAGAATCTGTCGGATTGGGGTCTGGATGTGCATGTATTTAAATAGCTTCACTGATGATTCTGATTCATACCCCAGGTCAAGAACTCTACCTTATGAAGTTGGGTGAAAAAATACTGGGATAGTAGTTCCTTGGACAAAGTGTCAACCTAGAAATTCTGAATTCCTTATGGTTCCAAAAGGACAGTTCTTTAGAGTTAAATGTTCAAACAGATCACAATATTAAATGAAGTAACCTCCTTTTTTTTTTTTTTAAAAAGATGACCGGTAAGGGGATCTCAACCCTTGGCTTGGTGTTGTCAGCACCACGCTCAGCCAGTGAGCAAACCGGCCATCCCTATATAGGATCCGAACCCGCGGCCTTGGTGTTATCAGCACCGCACTCTACCGAGTGAGCCACGGGCCGGCCCGAAGTAACCTCCTTGAAGGCAGGCTGATGTGCTTTAGAATGTTATTCTAGGTTCTAGTTCTGTCTTTAACCCTTTACATTGCAGGGTGGTGTGGAACAAATCACTAAATGAAATAAATGTCCTTGGATAGTAGCTGGGAGTTTTAAGCACCTGGAGAGAGGTACTGAGGCAGAACCTGTAGCGAGATAAAGGTAGTCATCATAGGCAGCTCACTCCTAACCTTGAGTCCTTTACTCTTACATCCTGAGTAGGGTACCACAGCCAGTTTCCACAGGCTGCTTGGCATTGCATCCAAGATACAAGGTAACCTACTATTCCTGTTAGCCATTACATAATGTGTACTTAGTGTCTTTGTTTGTGGGGCTTTGGGCTGGGTGGGGGCATTGGTGGGAGAAGGACACACAGAAGTAGAAGAAAAGATCCTTGCCCTGAAGAAGAGTATTTTAAGAGACATGACATGTAATTTATAACAAATGGACATTTGCAAAAGAACAACACAGAGAGTGTAGAGGTGCTGACCATTGCAGTGGTGCACACATGTTGCTTCTCCTGACTTTTCTCTTGTCCAATGGCTATGAGACTAACGGGGTTGGGGAGTGGGGATGTCCCCTCATTCCCAACGGTGTGAGAACGAGATGTGCTCTGAGAGGTATGTGTTCCACTCTTACAAGGTTGCTTTGTCTACCTTTGCTTGGTTGGTGGTGTCTGTAGCCTAAATGGGCATTCAGTCTTTTCTCCTGCTGTGAGGTCAGAGTAATTCAGGGCTAATAAGTGAGAAGAGGGAGTACTTTGATCCAAAGACTGCATTTAGCTTGCACCTACTCTTAGTAAGAGGGGACTTCTCTCACTAAGAACCAGCATTGTGTTAGGCTGTTATAAAGCCCTGCATTAGAGACGGGTCACTGGGACGTTCATTCTGCCATTTATTCCTCCACTCTCCCCCTGTGCTAGTTTGCTTTCCCAGAAGAGTTGCTGAGGTGGCCTTGCTATCCTCAGATAGGATATGAGAAGTTGGAATTTGACAACGGCAAGAGTTTCAGCATTCTTCAGTTTCTAGAGCAAGATATCTTCTGAGAAGTTCAAGCTAGGAGAATATAGAATGGAACGGAAATAGAACTCTTACTCTGAATTTTAGAGAAGTCCTACTTCCCACCTTTCCTTTCCTTTTCTTCTCTCCTCTCCTTACTTAAATGTGTATTGGTAGAATGTACACGTTACTGTGATTGTGTCTGTATCACAAGTCCTACAGAGAAAGAATGGACTCCAGAGTACCCTTTGCTAAGGCTTTAAGATTTGTTATGGGAGAAATAGGTGAAAACATTAGCATTTAATTTACTGGTATAAAATGGGGAAAGGGTTAAAACATTACGTATTCTTTTTTCTTGCTTCAAAACTGAGTGAAGAAGTTCATGACAGATTTGAAAGAGGAATCTAAAGCAGATTTAGAGAACCCACTTTTCTTCCTATCTCCTTATCTCCTAATTGGAAATTAGCTCTTAATTATCTGTATTGTCTTGTTTTGTTTTGGTAAAGGGATGGTTTTTCATGGAGTTAGAAAGTAGAATAAGGAGATTGTTTAAAAATATGTATTGTGCTAGGGATTAGTTAGTTTTTTTTGGTTTTTTATTTGTTTCCCAAGAAGTTAGAGTTAGGGATACAATATATTTGTACTCCTAGACTGAATGGTTGCCTATTTCATGTGAGAATCTCAGTAACCCATTTTGCAACCCACATTTGATTTTGGAGGCACTCACATTTCAAATAAACATGATATAGCTGTTTGGAAATAAATCAGTCTTATGGTTTTTCTGTGAGCAGGTGATCTGAGCTGCAGAGAAACTCATGGGTGCTTTGGGTGGCCAGTGGACAAGGGAAAAAGTGTCCAGTAATTGAGAAAACTATCTCTGGGTTATGTCATCTTGTGCATATTCCATTGTCTTTGCCAAGCCCAGAAGCCATGTTGTGTTCGTTGTCAAGAAATTTGATAGATATACCCAGCTTTTCTAGTATGCATTTTGTCTTATTTGTGTTTTAAAATATTTTTCTTTTAAAAATATATAACAATTGAGTCAGGTTGCAATGTTGGTAGGGAACTCTGACTTCCCCTGGAGGTGACATAGACATTAGAAGTGTGTCTAGGAATTTAAACTCATAGTGTCTAGAAGATGGTCACTAGAAGGATCTGTGTGCTGACTGACTGACTAGTAGACCTCAGTAGGGCTAATGTGCAGACTGACTGGCAGGCTCTTATTAGGGCCTGTAACCCAACAGTCTGCCTGTTTTTTGATTGTACCCATTTGTAGTATATACATATTATTGCAATTCTGTCTATATCACATGTCTTACAAAGAGAGAACTAAACACTCCACATGTTTTCTTCATGCAGAATTTCTGTACACTGTGATTTTTAATAGACATTTCTTGTACAGTACCAGCCAATTTCTCATTGTTTTGTAACAGATGAAAGTTATACATCACATGTACTGTATTTTGTGAACTCAGCTAAGGGAAGTTCAGAGCCTGAATTTGTTACCTCTACTTGAAGTTATCTCATCCAGTCCCTTGCTTTGGGGCAGGCCTTCACTTTCACCGTCCATTTCTGAACCTTTGATGTCCTCAGCTTACCCTGTTAAGGAATGTGGCATTCCATTGAATAGTGCTGCTGTTTTTAGTCTGCCATGCCTTTGGCTTTTACTCGTAATAAGTAAAAGTGCAAGGGAAACTTTGCATTCAAAAATGGATTTTTAAAAATAATTGATTTTAAGAGTTGGTAAAAGTATTCTTTCCAGTAAGCCTTTCACTAGATATCTGTGACAAATATTTATCTACTCAATGTTTTTGTATCTGAATTACTTGTGTACATTTTTTATTATGTTGAAGAAACAAGATCAATTCATTCTGATATGGTGGTGATTTTGCTATGGCAAAAGCAAAGGACCAATCACAAATGGTGCCCTTTGGAGGGGGATTGGAGTGGGGCTGAGCATCACTGGGTTGAATGGGAATGGGCTGGATTGGGAAGCCCAGAAATAGAGTTCTGCAGATTTCCTAGGCCTAGCTCTGTTGAAAATAGGAATGCAAGCCTTTAGCAGCATTCTGATTTAATCTGGTGACACTGATAACAAAATGTGCTAATCAGATCCACTTAAGATATATATAACTGTATTCTAAATGTGTTTTTGTGTGTGTTTAGAATGGGTAAATAAAATTGTTGAGTAACTTGAACCTATCAGAAGGCTTCTGGGTTTTTTGTTTTTTGTTTTGGGTTATGTTCCCCACCTACTCTCCATGCCTAAAACTTTGCCTCAAGCTGCACAATGATTGATACTCAGGCAAGCCAACCTAAGTTCTCTGATTGGAATTTGTGGTGTAGGCATGGCTCTCTTCTACCCCCTTCTGGGGAAGATGGGAAGGACATTATGGAAAGCACTTGAACTTCAGTAGTTGTGTGTACATGTTGGCTCCTATACTCATACAAGAATTAAGAAAAAATTACATTTGACCACACCGTGCTATAATGACTTCCATTACCAACATGTAACTTATGCATTACGAAGAAAAACTTTCGAGCTCTTTTAGAATTTAGTGGCCTATTGCTTCTAAAATATGACCTGCCTGTTTCTAACAAGATTATAGCTAGTGGTATAAAAAATGACATTTAACTTCTTCTGGGACAGGAAATACAGGTGGGATTGTTTTGCCATTCTTATGCCTTGTTCCTTGTTACCCTACCAAGGACCAGGAGCTCATTAGAAATGCAGAATCTCAGGCCCCATCCCAGACCTACTGAATCAGAAGCTTCAGTCTAACAGGATCACCAGGTGATTCATATGCACATTTAACATTTGAGAAACACTGTTCTAGAGGGAAGAATTTCTCACAAGGTAAAACATTAAATCCTAATTTATGGGAAGAAATTGATCTGCTCTGATGACTGATTTCAGAATGGACTGGGATAACTACAACGGTAGGGACCCTCCTCAGACACGAAGTAGCCCCTGACTACAATGTCAATTTCTTGGCTTGATCTTTTTTGGCTAATGTAGCCTACATACTCTCCTTTTACCACAGGGATCCCTACTGTTTCTGCTTCATATCTTGGGTATGTAGCTTGTGGTCCAGGTTTGAAAGGAGTGCCTGTTCCACCATGGTCACAAGGTCGGCTTCTCAGGGGAAGAAGCCCATGGCTATGCCATTAGAGTGTGCCTGATTCCCCAGAGTCAGGGTGTGTGTGCAAGCACACCAGTGTGTCTTTGCTGGTGTGGGGATGCAGGGATAAGGTGCTGGGCTGCGGTGCAGGAGTTGTGTTGGGGAGAGATCCTACTCTACTTTTCTTTGTTTGTCTTTTGGTGGTGGGGTAATGGTTCTGTTTCTCTTCCCCTCTGACTCCTAGGCCTTGGCAACTGAACACAGATCCCCCTCCATGGCGTCCCTCACCTTGCTCTCCTGATGATGTGGAGGCTGAGGCCAGACCTCTCCGAGGAACTGGGATCTACTGGAGAGCTTGGGATGTCAGCTCCACAGAGGCTAGCACAGGAAGTTAAGTGGGGACTGGACATTTGGGGCCACAAAAGTGAGGCCTGGAAAAACATCACCACATTTCTTCCCCTCATGCCTAATGGGAATATCAGTCACACTGAAAAACAACTTGTCTGTGCCTCAAAAACATCTAACTGCCTGAACCAATTTTTATCCTCTCTTTACTGAGTTCGGCCCAAGTTGGTCTATCTCCTTCCATTTAGGCATTTAACATCCTACCTGTGACTGTCCACATCCATTGCTAGCTATTTGCCTGAAGTGCAGATACACCACTGCATGATTAGTTTCCAAGTGAGAGGGCTGAACCCCAGAAAGTCTTTTCTGGGCAATAAGAGCTGCTATCTGCATCCATTCCAGGTGAGCAGGCTAGAGCCTAATGTATGTATGCAAACAGTCACCTTTTGCTACATTAGAAATGAGAAATCACCAGGTGAAGGGAGGGTATCTGAGAAATTCAGTCCCTAAAACATCTTTTCTGCAGCAATGGAAAAGCAGTAGAAGTAGCAGTATTTCTGTTTAGAGACGTTCTTGTTCCAGGTTCTTTAGGGCAGGATCTGACTGCAAGACCCCCCCAAATTGATATCCATCTCTCAGTTCTCTTTTGTAGCTACTGCATTTTCTACCTGATGCATGTGCCTCTCACAGCTGAAGAGGGCTAATGTCATTCTCCTGGGTAGTTGGGAATGAGAGTTGGAGAGAAAAGTAGGGTGCTGTTTATATCATATGAAGAAGTAAAGAGGACTCCTTGGGAATCAACTCTGCCAGGGAGTATTTTGGCTTCAAAACAGGCCCATCTGTGGCGTCTGTCACCGTGACATGGTCTCTAAGAAAGCTATGGCAGTGACCTCAAGAGCAGTGGTCTCCTGATGCCTGACTTTTAGCAGGTTGCCACTATTGTGGTCAGCTGGTTTCTCATGTAAAACTTTGTGGGAACGGGAGAACCAAGGCCTCAATGCATTGGTAATTTGGTTTCCCTAGCAGATAAGCCGGGTAACTGTTCCCTAGATCAGTGGTTGTCAAATGTACAAATATGTCTCTGTGAATGTGATTTTAGTATGTCACTACTCCTGAAGGAGAGTGTGGAATCCCCAAAGGATATTATGTCTTACAAGCAAAATCTATTTTTTTTTTAAAGAATAGTACATTTTTAGCTTAAAAAATTTTTTTATTTTCACTCAGATGCCCACTTGCTGGGCAAAAAGGTGAGTAGCAAGAAAAGTATGAAATGCAGCTTTTCCCAAATGGTTCTTTTATACTGTGGATGATACGGGACTTTGTTACCTAAGATGTGATGAGCTGGGCTGCAGGCGGCTCAGCATCCAGCAACTAGGAGCTTACTTTATACACACAAGGCTACCTTCAGAACGGCTCCTTACTCTGCTCTGTAGCAGATGATTTTCATCTGGCTGCTTGTAGCATGCTGTACTGTAATGGTTTTGTTCTTGTGATGCGGTTTTCTTTCTGCATCTAAATACACAGTCTTTTGATGATCAGACGATGTTTTTATTTAGTTATTTATTTTATCATATCAACGTTTGCATGTATTTAATTAAAATGTAATGTAATTTATGTTGTCACCTTTTTGGTAGAAATTTAGGTAGCTTGAGCTTTTAAGTCTAATGTCCATAGTATTACCTTAAGTTAAATTTCTAGAATGTGTATATCTGTCTTCGTGAAAGGATAATAACTATGTTAAGGCACAGTGAGTTTTTTTGAATACTTTTTTCTCATTGATTTTAATTGTAAGTTTAAACCAAGAGATGCATTTCTCTGGAGAAAAGTTTATCTCCTGGGTAAATAAAATCATGCTAAAATATGTGAGTAATATGTATTGCTTTTGTAATAAGAAAATACAATAAAAGTTATTTTAATTAAAAAACAATTTTTATATTACACACAAAAGATAATAATATTTTGGTACATTATACATAACACAAAACAATAATGACATTGTTCAAAATGTGTTTGAAACCAGCTTCTTCAAAATCATTTTTAAATTGTTATATTGCGTATATATTTCTAACTAGTGGTTTTAACTGCTGACTACCATCTTTATCATGTTCTACTAGCATTTCAAAATGATGTGAGTAGGATTGTTACTGCCATGCATTATTGACATTCTAGAGTTTTATTCATTTAACAAATGTTTAATGACTGACTACCTTGGTTGCTAGGCAAAAACTGAAACAAAGTCCCTGCCCTTTTTCTAGAGTTTATTATTGGAAAGAAAAAGGTTAACAGCAGGTCTGTAATGCATCCCTCCCTACTGGGGATGCTTTTCTCTTGTGAATACCCTTGACCAAAACTATTATAATGGTTGCATAAATGTGTATGATACACTTGATCTTAGCCAAAAGGCCGAGAAGTGATTTAAATGTGTATGATAAAGAAAGTTGGAACTCTTTGGAGCCAGTAGCAATGAGAATAAAATGCAATGTTCATAATAATAATAGAGCATTTCCAAATTCTGTAAGTTCAAGGGTTCTTCTGATATAATGAAAATGCCTTATGAATTCTCCAAGTTTGAAAGTAGGTGAGAGGTAGTGGTTGTAAGTATTGATAAATGTATTGAGCTTTAACAACAGTGAGGGTGTGGTGTCAAGGGTGTAACTTCCTTGGAAAGATCTCCACATGCTTTTCCAAGTGTTATCTAATTCGGCATCAAGCCATCATTTGTGAAATGCTGGGAGTGTCCGGAATCATTCTGCCTGTTAAACAGATAAGTGAACACCCATATTGAGTAACATGTTGGAATTTTTGTCAAAGCCAGTACCTCAGAACAAGGTGCTTATCTCCCGTTTGCCAAAACTTAAGTCAAATAGCTGTATAAAACTGTAAGGCAGGGCCGAACCCGTGGCGCACTTGGGAGAGTGCAGCACTGGGAGCGCAGCAGCACTCCTGCCGCGGGTTCGGATCCTATATAGGGATGACCGGTGCGCTCACAGCGCTCACTGGCTGAGCGCGGTGCAGCCGGTCTCAAAAAAGGACAAAAAGAAAAAAAAAAAAAACTGCAAGGCAGGCTAGGTTCATTTAATTATTATTATTCCAGGAGCCTTTGTGCCAGCAATAATTGGGGCTTAATTACCAAAGAAGGGTAAAATGGATATTGGGGAACAAATAGCAGTCTGCCTTTGTAGGTAGTTGAAACTTTGTAGCAAGTCTGAAGGGTATAAGAAGGTAAATAGCAGCCTTTATAGAGGTAGGTTGCCATGACTTTGCAAGGAAGGAAAAATTCTTTTCCTTCTGCTCACCTAGGTTCTGTAGCTGGGGCCCTGTAAATTAGACTAACAAAAGACAGGTCAAAAAGAGAAAACCAAAGAGTTTACTAACACATGAAATGCATATCACAGAAACCTCATAAGGAGTAACTCAAGGGAGTGGTTAGAACTTGGGTTGATATGGCATCTTTACAGAGCAACAAATTTGGAGGAAGTGACAAAGACAAATGAAAAAGACTTTGAGTTTCTAGGGCTGCAAATTGTGGAAAGGAAAATAAATGGGGGAAACTAATGGAGAAGATTTGTTTGAGTAGGTCTGTCTTGGCACTGACTTCTTCATGGCCATAAAACTTCCTCAGGAGGGGACTATGGCAGTCCTCATTTTTCAGAAGTTTCTGCTTTTAGGAAGATAAAGCTTCAGAAAGGATTTTTCCTGCATCTGTTGATTCTCATTTTGAGAAACACTCTCACTCGTCCAAGGCCAAAGGATGGACACGGAGACACGAGGTACAGCAAAGTGAGATTTTACAGCCTTGCAAGGTTCGGGTGTCTGACAGGCAGGTACATGGAAAAGGGCTGTAGCAAGTAATTTATTCCCTAGTGCGCAAGTCCCTGCCCCCATCTCCTCTCATTGGTTGGTGTGTACAATCTTCCTGGATGATGTCTAAGATTACCCCAATTTCTCACCCCCTTGTAAGAAATTTCTTTGAGGGCTTAGGACAAGCCCGCAAAAAAGGTCCCCGGAAACCCTGTGAAAGGAGAAACATTAGGAAATTAAGAGAACTATAAATGGCTATTAACTTATTACCATCTCAGGGAGAAATTTATCCATTTGAAGTAAACAGTTAAGGGCTGGTAACTCATTAGCATCTGAAGGAGAAATTTATCTGTTCAGCGACCCCCCCCGCCCCCCCACCCCCCAGAACTGGGCTGGACCATTCAGACAACTTTTGGGCTGGACCTGAATTATTTCTGAAAGTGAATAACTTAGATTATTTTCTTACACTCATTTACCTCCAGCTCAAAATAATTTTTATGCTAAAGTGGCATATTTGGGGGTGGCATATTCTGGTCCCTTAGAACTTAAAGGGAGTATTTTTCATTCATCAAGTCTGATCATACCATAGTGCAGGTCTGTCTTGACTCATAATTGAAGATTTTTCTATAGTGTTTCATGCACATTTGACTTTTTAAAAATTTATATTAGTTTTATTCTCATGTAATTTGCATAAAGGTTACTTTTCTGGCCCAGGTTTTTCTTGGTGAGGCATTCAAGAAACATCAATTGAATGTGTAAAAAATAATTGGAAGAGCAATTTAAGTCTTTTCTGAATTCTTTTGACAAAGACCAAAGGGAATCTATTCATGGCACACTGTAGAATTTCTTAAAATAATCTTTCCCCCAATTCTCATAAAATCTCACACACACTATGAAGTGTGTGGCCCTTTTATAATTCTACAACTCTTCCTTCAGACTGGCGTTGCTGACTTTTGTATTTCTGTCCCTCCCCACTTACATTCTGCTCTCTTCCTTTAATTACTGTTTGCCCATTCCTTTGTAAAGAAATCAAACCAGTCTGAGTACAACTTCTTCACCTGACCTATTACCTCGGTTCTCCAGGAAACAATCTGGAATAGATCGAATCATCAATGTTCAAGGGAGTAGGAGAGCCTGTGAATGCTCATTTGTTAATTTATTCAACTTTGAATACTCATAAAACATGTAAGTCTATATTCTCTTTTATCTGTAATTCTAAAATCCAAAAAGTTTTGAAAAATTCATTTGACAGCAAAACCTGACCTGAACTTTGTGAAGATATTTATAGTCACTATATATCCCACTTAGTATGAATATTCTTATATTTAATGGAGAAATATTAGTAAGACAATAGTATAAGCAATATGGTACCTTTATAAAGTCCTAATATTTCTGAATCTGAAGGAAACCATTGAGATGAAGAATTATTTATAATTATTTCCTTTAATACATGCTCTATGTTATGTTCATACTTACATAGGACTAAACTAGATTTTCTTTCACTTTTAATTATTTATTGTGTATGGAAGAAAGTGAGCCGAAACGCCAGGTACCAATCAAGCTTTGCTAAAGGAAAAGAATCTGCTGGGCTGCACTCAAAGTGGAGGGCAGCCCAGGGCTGCCTTCAAAATGGAGGACAGCCTCAGGTGTAGGGGTGAGAGAGCTTATTTAGGGCATCAAGGGCTGGCAGATACAATCAAGGAGGGACATTATGCTAATGTGGAAGCTATGTGACCACGGTGGAGAATTGCCCCTTTGCGGCAGCAAAAGGGTTTCTGTTTTGCAGAAGTCACAAGGCTCCTCGTAAAGGGAAGGGGGGAGGGGTTTGATGCTGGAGGGGAAGACAGGCTTATTTTGTGCATAACGGCACCGGTCATGTCCAAGATCCATCAGGGCAATCATATACATACCTCTGTATAAGATACTGAAGAACATGCATTCCTTAAGAAGTAGAATATGTGTTGTGTTAAGAAAAATTCAGGGCTGACAAGTTAACTCAATTGGTTAGAGTGTGGTTTTATAACACCAGGGTCAAGTGTTTGGATCCCCTTACTGCCAACTGCAAAAATTAAAAAAAAAAAAAAATTATTTAAAACTTGCAACTAAGCAAAAAAAGATCACTAGAATAAATTTTTAATGGATTACTGGGATTTTCTAGCAGACCCTCTGGGATTACAACTCCATAAGAAGAGAGGTTAATTTGTAGCAAATGGACAAGAATGCAAATGATTCTTATCTGAGAATGATGCAAATGATTCCTAATCATAGCAAAGCAAAGGTCTTTTGTCCATTTTGCTTCACTTAATTTCTGTTTGGTAGAAAAACCAATTCCAAATATCACAGTTTGTTACCCTGTAGAATATTAACCAGTTTTGCATCTATTAGAAAAGTCAGTTCAGAATGCTTTTGACTGACTGACTGACTATATAGATCTCTATTCCTCAAATTCTTTTTTTTTTTTTTCCTTTTTGTCTTTTTTCGTGTCCGGCAACGGATCGCTCCCTTCAGTGTTGCGCCCACCCCTCGCTCAGCCAGTGAGCGGGAACCGGTCTGTATGTGGGATCCGAACCCTCGGCGGGAGGGCCACCACGCTCCCAAGCGGCACACTGTAGCAGTGCGCCACCGGGCCGGCCCCTCAAATTCTTTTTAATAGATCTGCAACATAACCAGCGCCACTTTAGACAAGCCCAAGTACAAAATGGCACCGTCCACCTCCTCCCCTCCCCTCCCCCCTTCCCTTTATAAGAATCCTCCTGACTTAAACAGAAACCCCTTTTGCTTCTGCAAGGATGCAGTTCTCCACCCTGACTCACATTAGCATAATGACCCTCCTTGATTGTATCACTGAGCTCTTGGCACCAACATACCAATATAAACTCTACCACCCCCACACCTGGTGCTGTCCCCTTTCCAGGGCAGCCCTGGGCTGCCTGCTACTTCGAGCATAGCCCAGCAGATTTCTTTCTTTAATAAAGCTCGAACGGTACCCGGCATCTTGGCTCACTTTCTTTCTCTTTTTTGAACCAGTTGTAGCATCTAAATGGTTCCTCATTAATTAGTGAGTTGAATAAAATCTTCGATATATATACGTTTTATATTTAGTGTTAGGAGGTGCTTACACAT